ATATGTAATTATATAAAACCATATATGAATTCTGCCCATATATGTGGTTACATATATGATCATATATGTCTATACGAAAAAAATGATGTTATGTCATTTGATTAAATGTCGATATCATGTGCTGTCAGAAGCACAAATAGCCAGAAGCATTTACTTCGATTGTATCTGCATATAATTTGTAAGCAACAGTATTTTTTCGTTGTGTACATATATGATTATATATAATCATATACAGGCAAATTTCATATATGATCTTTTCTTTCCCGACTTTCCTTTTCGGTATCTTTCCTTTCCGTTCTTTTTTTACGACTACTTCAGTCGCCAGGTGCTGCTTCACGTGCATCCTCCGCGAAGATGCGACGAAAGACACTTTCCTTCATCGACACACCCTCGACGAGATTTCACGGAGACGTCGCGCGATTTATGGCCCAAGGAGCGATGGAGAAATAGTTTCGCGGAATTTGAGCGAAATTAGAATTAGAAATTAGAGAGAGAACAAAAAATTAGAATAATGCGAGTCGTCCAGGTGGTCGCGATGGAAATTGCAATTACCTTCGACAGCCGCGACGAGGTGGCCGCCTTCGTTCAATAAAGATGGCTGCGCGCGTCCTCCGACGACACGTCGCGACACCAGGACGATCGCGACTCCGTGCACGAAATTGTTAGCACAAATAACCGATAGGGTTACGGTCGTCTTGCGCGCGTCCGCCGGTCCGCGCCGTCCGAAACCGCCACGCGATGGCAAACAAGAAACGGTCCTGCTCAAATATCTACTCGCGATGCGTCTTGCGGCTAGTCGAACGACGCTCTGTTGATTTTTGTCATTTGACTGGAGACGACCAACACAGGTCGGTCCCATCCTCCGTCCCGTTCCCCGTCGTCTCGCTCGCGATACGAGGAGAGGCACGTCTCCATTTTCATAATCGACGAGTATCAAAATCACCGCAAAGACCCCGAACCTTCGGAACCGTCTCTCCCTTTGACCTTTGAGGATGGAATCGAGGAGCGGCGCGTCGTTCCGCGGAGATCTTTCTCTTCGGTTCACCGAGAGCCCGGTAATTTGTCGTTGCGTAGAAAAGAGTGGAAAATCATGAAGGAGACTGCATATGAAATGTAAAAATTTAAAGTACGTCTGATAATACAGCCAGAGACTGTATTGTCAGACGCACTTTAATATTTTACAATTCATTGACTTCCGAGGACTAGCTTTAAAATACGGCTCATCTATCTATCGAATTATATTAACATTTTGAAGCCTTGGCCTTAAAGATGATTTATTAATGGGATCCTGGATAATTTTGATGTCTATTAAAAAACTTTCATTGTTGATGTATGTTGTAACTTAGCAACCAATATATCAATTTTAAGTGTGAAAAAAGCACTTTAAAAGCAACAGAAACGTATGAAATTAAATAACTAGGCCCGAGTTATACTCGGGCTTCGGCAGTTGTCGTCTGCGCGCTACCCCGACCTATACTCAGGCTTAGGACAAAGAATGTTAAGGAATCATCATTCTATAAAAGATATTTTTTACGACGTCATTTCGCTCGGCTGTTACAATGACCTTGAACGAGTATGAATTCGCGCTAGCTGCATTGTTGATAATAACGAGAACAGACGTGAGTTTTGCGTGTGTGTCAATTGAAATTTAGTTTTATTTTTATTTATTTGTAACTTGAAGCTTCAAATTCCCTGCTTACTAACTAGAAAAAATAATTTTTCGTGTGACAAATACTAATATTGTTTACAAAAATTATGGGTAAAACGGGTGATTTGACATCTCAGGAGGTTGCAGAGATAAAAGCGCCGATTGACACCAAAAATTATTCTAATCGAGCAAATATAAAATTAGTAGTTTCTCTTCTCCTCCTAACTTGTATTCTATTAAAAAATTAGTGCATCTAATAATATGACCAGAGACTGCATACATGTCACGCTATCGGTCAAGTCACGATCGGATCTGAACTACTGACTGCACTAGCAACTTACATTAGTTCCCTCCTCTTCTTTCTTTCACCTCTTTCTTAACCGTATATCTGTTCCTTTTTAAGTTCTATAAGTGTACACCAGTTCAATGAAGGACAGACGTACGGCTAGATCACGATCCGGTCAAATATCGCTTCCATTAAATTTAACGCTCTTATAAGTTTCCATTCGTACTAGTGATAGAGCTAAACAGTTATATTTATTAAACGGTTATAACAGTAACTATTGCTTCAAAATAACCGGTTATTTAAACAGTTAAACCGTTACTAACAATTTACCACAATACTGTTAGAAAATGACTGATTTGGGCCAGTTTAAATTAAACGATTATTGCTCATGTAAATAGTTATTCAGTCTTGAAATATTAGTTGCAATGAGCAGAAAAAGTATTCCCCCCCCCCCCCCTAATCACTTGACGGTTACTCGGTTACCGATCAAAGAATTCATTTCTGAACAATTACTGCCTGTAGCAGACAATTTTAGTTGCGAACGATTAGATAGTTATCGACTAAACAGTCGATTAGGATCTTAGACATTATTGCTCTTAAAATTGTAACTTGATGAAAATAAATAACCGTTTAAAGTAAAAGTACCAATGTCTAATCGTGAATATTCTTGTTACTTAGGTCTTTAACCCTTAGCTGACACGCGTCAAAATAATAACGTACGTGCTATAGGGGATATTTTGGACCCCAGCGAGAAAAAATGTGTATAATTGTTTTATTTATCAATATTGGGTCAAGCCTCGACTAATACTAGGTGACGCCACAGAACCAAATTTGACGCGCAGCTATGAAAAATTTGCGTTCAAAAACACTCTGGGGTACTTTTAACCCCGTGTGTCAGCTAAGGGTTAAACACAAATGTTTAATCTTCAAATATAAAATATTTGTACATATTCAATATATGTACATATATCCTATGTTAAAAGTTCGAATATTCGTAATTAAAAACTAAAACAACAAGAATGCCCAGAGTTAGATACGTATCCAGGCGTTGATACTTTTAACCCGTTAACTGTTGTTCTCCAAATTTGATAACGGTTGCAAAAATTATATTTCGATAACGGTTATCCATTAACAGATAACGAAATAACGTCCATTATTCACATCAAGCTGCGGTCGCAGGATCGCGATTCTTTCTTCGAAAGAAATCTAGACCGCAATGATCCTGCCGTAATCGTCAAGCGAGTATGCGAAAGACAATCAGCAATAGAAGCTCGATCACGAGAAGGAACTCATCTCTCTTATCTAAGATAAATGAAAAGAAATTTATTAAATATTTTTATGCAAATGAAAAATTTGTACATCTTCTCTCATCGAAAATATCGTGATATCTCATACAAACTAAATGGAGTGAAGTAGCAGAAAAACTGCAATAAGTTATGCATTTCATTCTCTCTCTCTCTCTCTCTCTCTCTCTTTTCCTCTGTTCGTATTATAAATATTATAACACGTACACACATTCCATAATATTATATAATGTAATAAAACATTGTAAGAGCTTAGAGAACATTTTAAAATAAGGTACTGACTGACATGAATGGTACCGCAAGACTGACTGGTGACCGGAAAAGGCCGCCAGACAATCGAAAAATGGGAATGGGATGAAAAATCCGTGACTAGCTTGATCATGATCCGATCATACTATAACGAGAATAAGAAAAATAAAAACTCGATTGTCGGCACGTCGCGAAAGTGGGCGAATCACGGCCGCGCGAGATCAAGGCGGGATTGCCGAAACTCCGACCCCCGTCCACCCTAGCCGATGATCGGCTGACATAATTCACTAGACGTCATTGCGCAAGAGCGCGGGTCGCCGGGCTGGTTGAAAATGGGCCGCCGAGGCACAAATACATACTTGTCGCATACTTTCCCGAGAGCAGCGGGCGGCAAATATTAACACGAAGGAGTTTCGCACGGTCTATCTCGTCTCGATCCACGGCCTCCACGACTCCGACGACTCCGAGGATCCACTTCCTTCCGACCTTGGGCGACCGGCGGCGGGCTACCTTCCCCGGTAAACTTCTCCGACGTTTCCTCCGCGACGACGACGGCCGATGGAAAGAGAAAGAGACGAAGTTTCGCGCGCGCGAGATCGATTATGCGACATATCGCGCGAAACGACGCACGAAGCGCGCGACGTCGGTCCTCGGTGGACCACGTGCGGGCCCGTGTACGTCGTCCGCCAGGACTAATCGAGAACCGCGGCGACGGACGCGTGGGCGGACTGGTGAACGTCGCGTTCACCGTCGAACCCACCAACCATCGTGGAATCGTAAAGTCGACTCGTCCGACCATTGGCCGACGGAAGTCGCGGAAGGCGGCACCGGCCGTCTCGGCGACCGGGCGACCGGTCATACCGTTCCCGACCAATGGACACCGTCTAGCGATACCGCCATGCTGCCCCCGGTGAGCTCCTAATTTAGCGAGTAATTAGCACCCGGCGCGAACGCGGACGCAGAGTCGGTGCCTTCCCGCGCGGCTCGCACCGTGTCTCTCCGAGCGAACGGAGAAAGAGAGGCCCGTAGCGAAGTGCGGACAGAGAGGCAGATATTACCCCGTCGGTCAGTCTTCGGCGAGTCTTCGCCGGCTAGTGTGAAATATCGCGCCCAAGTGTTACGAGCCTACGCGGCCACGCGGCCTCCTCTCGTACGCGACGACACGACCTGTCCTCCGCCGCTGACGGAGACGAGTCCGGTGCCGCGACACGACGACGATTTTCCGTTCCCCGCCCGGCCGCTCGTTTTTCTCGCGACGCGTCGCCAATTCGATCGACCGGGGAATCGAAATCGCGCGCGCCGTCCACAGGGAGAACCCGACCCGCGATTTTTCGCACCCTCGTTGAAAAAGAAAGAGAGAGAGAGAGAGAGAGATAATTCCTTTGTCCTACGAGCGTGTCGTGTCGCGGGTCAGTCGAGGATCGACTTCCTTGATCCGAGGCTTCCGGCAGGATTCACGAGTCGCGCTGCCGGAGTTGCCGCGAAGGGTCGCGAGAACTGGGGAACCCCGAGAATGCAGCCGGCGAACGTTCCGCGGACGCCGGACTCACCGACGCGCAGCCACGAGCGCGAGCGAGAGCGCGAGAGGGAACGCGAGCAGGATCGAGATCGCGAGCGAGACCGCGGCGGCAGGCAGAGCCGCACGAGCCCCGAGGAAGATCGGGATGATCGCGAGGAGCGCGGCTCGATCGCCCGGCAGGGCCTCGGCCACGCCGCGATCTCGGCCAATCAGGGATTGCAGTTGTCCTTGTCCCTGGAGGACCGCGAGCTCTGGACCAGGTTCCAATGCATCACGAACGAGATGATCGTGACGAAGAACGGAAGGTACACGCGGAGGAGGAGGGAGAGCACTCGCTCTCGCCTGCACGGGGAACACAAATTTCGCTGGAACAGCGAATGTTTGTCGATATAGTGAGAGGAAAAAACATTTGTTCGGACAGCAGAGAGATTTGTTAAGAGTACTAATTGCTATTTGATGGACATATGGGAAATTAATATCCTTAAAGAATCTTTTTGCTGTCCAAACAAATTTTCTTCGCTGTCTAGTTTTTCACATTTTTCTTGCCGTCATTGTATGGACAAACATTTGCTTTTCGAGCAGAATTTGTTTCCCCCGTGCGGTCTTGAGAGATGGTCGTCGGGATGAATGGGGTTGTGATCGGCTTGCGCGCGACGGTCGTTCGATTAGCTGGAAGAAGGATCGAGAGATCGCACGCTGAACGAGAAAGCAACATCGTATCGTAAAGATTGCATGTACACACACACACACACACACACACACGGAGGGAGCAAGTTTTGCCCTGAAGAACAGCAAGTTATTTGTTAATATAGTGACAGCAAGAAAATTTGTTGCGCGGAAACAATTATTTTGCTGTTGTCAGCAAAACGTCGTTGTGATGGCAATAAAATTTAGTTGAAATAATTAACAATTCATACTCTCAACAAATCTTTTTGCTGTCACTGTAGTAACGAACGATTTGCTATGCCAGCAAAAAATGTTCTCCATGTGTGCAATAAACCTTATATTCTACAAATAAATGATTAAGTACGTTTTTCTCGGTGTATGAGATGTAACTTGTACAGATCATCTTTTCAAAATTTAATTATGCTTTATGTTTCTCATTCTTCCGGTTGCATATACATGGAGAGAAATAATTATGTTGTTATAGCAAAACCATGTCGTTGCCACAGCAATAAAATTTAGTTGGAATAAGCAAATCATCGAATTATTTGTAATTAGAGCAGGAACAGTTTTCTTGCCAGGATAGAAAATATTCTGCTGAGTGAATCTATCCTTAGGATACGTTAATTTGCTGTTAGAAGAAAATAATGCTTTCCTATATATACATATATATATATTTTACTAATTTGTTCTTACAGCAAAATAACTTGTAGATTCAGCAAAACAATTCAGCGACAATGGCAATTAGTATTCTTAACAAATCGTTTTACCGTTCACACAGTAACTGATAGATTTTGCTGCGACAGCGTAAAATTTGCTATGCCAGCGAATTCATTTTCTCCGTGTAGAAAAAAAGAAAGTTTAATTTCAAATTTTTATCATGGAAAACGACATACACACGCGTCTGACGCGCGATCTCTCTCATCTTCGACTGCTGCATCCTGTTCCTTCATGATGGAATCTTGTCGACGCAACTTGCAGCTTGCAACTCGATTTTGATTAGTTCAATTTCACTTATATTCCCCTACGACTCTCCGTCCCGGAGTATCAGCGGCTCACGACCGATCCATCGGATGACTCTCTCGCTTGCAGCGCGCATAATTCGTGCGGTGAATCGACGGAGACGAGCCGAGAGAGAATAGAACGCCGGGGATTCATTTCATAAACCAAAACAAGAATAAGTCCCGCGGCCCGGTGGAAAGACGGAGTTACCTGGGAAGGTCGAGTCGCCGACAATAAAGTTTTACGGCCCTCTTGTAAAACGTCTCTCCTGCCATGCCGGTGCCCGCGAGCGCTTTACCTGCGCACATCCGCGGTCGACAAACCGTAATCGCGTTTATTAATACGCCAGTCGTAAATGTAGTCGCCGAAGATACACTGTTCACACGGCGGGTTATCTTTTGATCCGCGCTATGAATCGCCACGAACATCGATCTATACACCGTGTGCAGATGCAGGACTCTCCCCTCCCCCCCCCTCCCTCTCCCCCCTCTATCTCTCTCTCTATATCCGTCTTCTTTTACATGGATATGAATTTATGGGTCGATCTGAGTTTAACTTGGATTGAAATACGGACTTAGTTTTTGGATTTAGTTTAGTTTTTGAGAGTTCAAAATTAATAAATTCACAGCTCAATCCTTTCCTTAAGCGTACATAACTCAAAGTTACTTTTTAACCCACTCTCCAAAAAAAGCAGATCTTTCATTCTCATTTGAAGTTTTCGTTTCTGCTTTCGCATAATTATTATGGTTTGTGTAATTTAGAATCAGCAGAATGTATTGTTATTTCTCTTCGACTCTACTGTGTATTTTGCTTGTCTTTAGAGGGCTTGCCCTAAGATGTAACAAACACACACAGATTTACGAGTAGCGCTGCCTTATGCAGCGGAGTGAAAACGTCACTTTCGTTCGCAGGAGGATGTTCCCGGTGGTGAAGGTCGTGGCACGGGGTTTGGAACCGGCGGCTATGTACACCCTGCTACTGGAGTTCGTGCAGGTCGATCCGCACAGGTAAACGCGATCTTAACGAACGGCTTCAATTTATTCAAACAGGAAATGGTATCAAAAGGAATATCAACAAGATCGTCAGACTCGTTCGCGAATGATTTTCTGTAAGTGGTCGAGAATTTCAACTTATTCGGTACCGGAGAAAGTTTCGTGCGGATTCTTTTAGGAAAGCCAATGAGTGCAGTCTCTTTTTAGCTGTAGATTCGTCACATTGAAACACACTTGTGCAACGTCTGCACACCTTTCGGTGGATTTGAACGCACATACCCACGTAGTCTATTGTCTTCGGTAACAGCCGGACGTCCCGAGACGCGGCTACCTAATAGAATTTTCGAGTCAAATCGGCGCCGAAGTTCCCCCTCGGAACCCACAAAATCGCCTAAAATTGTTCCCGCAAGCCGTACAAAGCGACGGAATAGTTTCGGGGATATTTTTTCCGAAGAATATAAACGGAGGGGTCGTAAAGATGCGAGCAGCCGGGAGTCGCGGTAGTCGAGGAGAAAAGTGACGAAGCGAAGTGACGAGCGCGGCGAGGTACGGCGAGCGAGAGAAATATTCGCCGGCGGACCGCGCGAACGGACGCGTTACCGATTTGCGTTGATTTATTTCGCGAGTGGAGTGTATGAGGCGCGCAAGGAGCGCGCGAAGGATACTAACAGGTCGTAATTATCGTACCCCTTTCGTTCGGCCGTCACGTAACGTCGCTAAACTCGATTCTAAACTCGTTAGTGCGTTATTTTTAACTCGCCGGCGATTCGTCATCGAAGGTGTGTTGAACGAACCTGGGTATGCGCGAGCGCATAATAGCTTTCGCAAAACAATCCGGGAAGACGACGATCGGCAGAGGATACGCGTCGCTCGCGAATTCCTCGAATCGCGTCGAAATCTCTATCGAGCCGACGAAACGGAAGGGACGAGTGAAGTCGCACTCTTCCAGCGCAGCGCGTTTTCACAGATTGACTGTTATATAACTGTTTGAGGATAAGAGAGAGAGAGAGAGAGAGAGAAGATTAATGTAAGATGCAGCTCGAAAAACTTGGACCTGCAGGTGGAAATACGTGAATGGGGAATGGGTGCCGGGTGGGAAGGCGGAAGTCGCGCCGCCTAATCCGATTTACATACATCCGGAGAGTCCGAATTTCGGGGCACATTGGATGAAGGAGGCGGTGTCGTTCGCCAAGGTGAAGCTGACGAACAAGTCGAACGGTAACGGACAGATAATGCTCAACTCATTGCACAAATATGAGCCGCGCGTTCACTTGGTTCGAGTGGGCGCCGAGGAGCAGAGGACGGTATGTTTCTTCTTCTCTTCTTTCATAAAGTCACTTCTTTCATAAAGTCTTTCTGTATCGGCTAAACCCATTCTTGCCATTGAAATGTCAAAATTTGAACTGTTTAAGACAATGTTCAAAAACATTCCTTTCCATATTGAAACTTCATAAAATTCCTTTTGTGTTCTGAAAAACTTGTTTTATTAACCATGTTTTAGAATTGTACCTTTTTTTATACATTTTTATTAATGTTTCGAGAGAATGATTTTATAACACGAAGAGAGCGGGACGTATAACATTGCAATCTGACTATTCGTTCTCACTAATATTGCCAAACATGAAAAAGCACCTGCTTTCCTACGCACTGTATTCTTAACAGAGAAAAATTCCTGCTATTCCTGCTATTTATGATTTCTTATTTTTATTCCTTTTAAATGAGGGACCAATCTGCAAATCAAACATACACTTATTTTTTATTACTTTATTGAGGTTAGTGATTTATTATACATTTTATTTCTTACAAATCGCTGATTTCTCATCTTAAAATTCGAAATTAAAACTTTAAAACCTGATGTGACGGAGTATTATATAATTTGGCGAGTGATGCTGTTTCTTGTGACTGAAAATCTACAAGGTCTACTCTTATTAGAGTAGTCGACTGGACGAAAAATATTTTCCGTGTTATCATACCACGATCATCTCGCCAACCACCGTTACCCGTGCAGGTTCTCACGTATCGTTTCCCCGAGACCCAATTTATCGCGGTGACGGCGTACCAGAACGAAGAAGTGACGAGCCTGAAGATCAAGTACAATCCTTTCGCGAAGGCGTTCCTCGACGCGAAGGAGAGACCCGCCGACCCGCAAACTTATCCGCAATGTGAGTAATGCAACGCGAATAAATGACGCGACAGGTTCACCATTTTTTTACGTCGATAGAAACATGACGCGGACGAGAGAGAGAGAGAGAGAAATAAGTGTCGAGGCATCACATTGCCGCGCGACCAGGCATTCTCGATGACGCGAGTGACGTTTTTTTTTCTTTTTTTCGCAGACACCGGTCCCTGGTTCCTGTCGCAACCCACAATGGGATACGAGTACAACACCGCGTCCGCGATAGCGGCGGCCGCGCAAAATCAAGTATCGGCCAGCGTCGGCAATCACCTCTCTAATTCGTGCAGCGTCACCACTTCTGGGCACAGGAGCACCTGCAGAGCGGCGCCGTACACCTTGAGGCACAAGTACGTCCAGGACGGTACGTAACATCGTTACCCCATCGCGCTGCACTTCGCTCTCAATCGACGCTACGACACGTAGATCAGAGACGCGCAGATGTATCTTACAGTCCGGTAGTCGCGAAGAGAGATCGTCGTGTATTCGCGTCGGATAAGATCGAGCACGAAATTATCCACTTTCAAAGTGCTGATAATTCTTACGACTGACGCTTCGATTAAAAATGTGTATGAAATGATCGCGTCTTTCAGCGGGTTGAAAGAGCAGAAAAGCGACAAATCATTCGCGTCGACTTATTAGGAGGCTGTAATAGAGGTATCGTCGGATCGTCGATAGTTTCATTGACTGAAAGAGGACGAGTAATTTCACAGAAACGAGATCTTATCAAAGCAAAAAATGGTGGGATGTGGTAGATAACGATGGCAAATATTTTGATCGAAAATGTAGCACACTGAGAAACCCATTTAGTTGAATCAATTAAATTCTTGTTGGACTATGGGCAAACAAATTTTTTGGTTATAACAACCAAGGTTTAGTTCTCTTAACCAAAGGTTTGGTTCTCCGAAGTTTCAGAGGTTTCATGAAAATAACATTTGTTATATTTGATATTATAAATATGTCAATTTAACGTACAATTAGCTTTCAAATAGTATCAATGTTAATTTTTTATGTAATATTTGTGTTACTTTTCAACGTATTCACCTTGTGTTAAATTAACACCAAAATTTGGATGGACCGTTTGGAACATGTAAAATGCGTTAAATTTAACAAACAAACTTTTTTACTGTACAGAATCATCATTTCTTGTCATCGAGTTTTCCTTTAGCCCTTATATTCAGTTACAGGAACTGAACTTTGTTCCTGCGCACAGAGAAAAGAGTTCCTTTAAATTTAGCGTTTCTATTTATTTGACCGAAATTTGTTTCACAGAAACGACATACACTTGTATGAAATATTACTTGTTCCAGTAAAAATTTCACTGTCTCATTCAAGAAAATTCGCTTATTTAACAGAAAGATGCGCTATTGTTTGAAAACGATATCTTCTAGCCAAATAAAATATCATTCGATCACAATAAATATGTAAAATGAAGCGAACGATTTTCTTATAGGAAAATTATCTTTCGTTTCGTACAAATTTCTTATTTAAAATAAAGATACATATCCGTTGAAGAGTCCTGACAATCGTACTTATTGATCGAAACGTCAGTTCCCTCGGAGCGTGCCGATGATGAAATTTGCTTGGACGCGATGAAAATTTCCTAAATTCGAAGAAGCCTTTTCCTCAGCGTACGATAGCATCTATGATATCTACGCGTCAAGGTCAGCGTACAGACTGTCGATGGGCGAAAACTCGACCGCTCGCTGTGTGTCCGTAGAACAACACGCGGACCCTTACGCTCCCATGCCGCTGCTGCACTCGACCGCCTACGTGACGGCCCCGGCCTGGTCGCCGCGCAGTCCGGAGTCCTTGCAGAACTTAAACTCGGCGGCGTGCCTGCCGCCGAGCGCGCCGCAGGACTGGCCGACCTCGCCGTCGCCGTCGCCGACTTCCTCGGCGCACACGGTCCTCGGCCGGACCGTCGTCGGCAGCACCGCCGCAGCTGTCGCCGCCACCACCGTGACCGGCTGCACGTTGTACGTGCCCTCCGCGAACTTACCTGCGTCGCAGGAGCACAGCGGACACTGCGCCGACTCCTCCTGGATTCATCCAGCGGCTGCGCTCGAGCAGCAGCAGCAGCAGCAACAACAGCAGCAGCAACAGCAACCCTACTTGAACCTGAACCTCCACCTGCATCATCAGATGTCCTCTTACGGATCGGTGCCGCACGCGGGGCTGCATCACGGGCTGCATCCGGGCGGAGAAACGGTGCCTCCCGCGGACGAATACGTCCACGAGTACCACCACGCGTCACCGGTGCAGTCGACCACTCCTGATCAGCATCGTCACCATCAGCAGCAGCAGTCGCAGCCGCAGCATCACCCGCAGGCGCAGATGTTGCACTTACAGGCGATACCGCAGACAGGCACCAGCTCGCCGGTCAGCGTGGAATACGACAGCCCTCCAAAGGAGCAGCACCCCCACATCCAGGTGGGCTTCCACCCGGAACAGAGCGCGGACGCTCTGAGCGAGGTGCAGCAGGACGACGAGAGAAGATACCTGACCACGGTGGTGGATCGCCACCACCATCACCACCACCATCATCATCACAATCATCATCGGCAGGACACGGAGATCGCCGGCGCGGAACAGCCGACCGCGTGGACGCCGTTGACGCCGCCGCCGGCGCCGCAGACCACCGCTATCTGATTCCTGCCGGACCCTGAAAGTCTCACAGTTTACTTGTTTCTCGCTCGTGAACGGCGCGAGGAGGTGTCGTCGTGATCGACGAGGGGGGGGGGGAGGGGGAATCGTCAACCGCGGGGATTCGTCGCCGCGATTCGTCGAGCACGTCGAGCAGGCCGACGCTCGAACGCCGACGATTAACGCGTTCGCGGTAATTAGGATAATCGCGCGCACGATAGATGCTGCCGCAATCGCTGAATCGTACCGATCCGTCCTGAAATGTCTGGTACATCGATTATTTTCGAGCACTCGCAGATACCGTTAGCACGTTAGGCATGTCGAGAGAGAAATAAAGTGCAGATGAAGCGATCAGCCTCTCATTTTTCCTACTCACTCTTCTTCCTCACAGAGGATAAGCAAAGTTCGCAGAGTCGACAGGAATAATGGTGACGAACTGACTCTAGAACCGTTTATTATCAATTGAAATGTCCAATTTCTAAATGGAACGACTAATTTCGTGTTTAATTTCCAAACATGTGTTTTCAGCTACAAAGTTTATTCGTTCATCGCGGCGATATATGGGTATAAAACGAGAGTACAAACCGTCAAGTGCTACCAGTTTCTATCAAGTTCGTCGAATGGCGCGACGTAAATGAAGAGTAGCACGCAAACTATGTTGCGGCAATAGGAATCGCGAACTTTCAATTATACACCAGTTGAATATCATTCTCAAGTTGTGCGTTCGATATACTTACGTTCAAATTGAGCGTCATTTTCGCGAGTGTTTTTTGAGCGTTTTTGCGAGTTTTGTTTTTTCCATAAAGATACTGTTGGACAGCGACGATCGAGCCTGGAGGATCGGCCGTCGCAGGAAAATCACCCGAGCGACGGGGTTGCTCACCGACCGCGGGGCGGCGCGCCATCCGATAGTCCGTTCGCGAACGAGTTCGCTCATGGCGGCTATATAGAAGCGCTCCGTAAAAACGGGGGACTCAAGCGGAGCCTGCAATGAGAATTTAAGCTCGAAATCTTGAGAAGTTAACCAATCACAATTGTTTATTCTTCTACAATTCGTTTGTAATTGGTCAATTTCTCAAGGCTTAGAAGTATCTGTTGTAGAGTTGTTAAGAGGACTTTATGGCTTCCGCCCACAGAACGGCAGCGCAACACTTGCTACATCGCGGACGAGTTTACGTGTTATCCTGAGAATATACGAAAAATGATATAGCATTTGCAGTAGACAGAAAATATTACAATCACATATTTTGGTGTTAATCATTGCCACTAAGTGCTATAAAAACAAATAAAGAGCAAGTGTCTCCTTTTTATAAATTTATCGTTTCTTTGTGATGGAATAATAAATTCCAGTATTAATTTATTTCGTTAGATACTGATGTGAAATAGTATTGAAGTCTGGCCTCAGTGTTAATTCAAGCTTTAACCCTTTGCAGGGTCCGCAGATCTCGCTGAGAGAGTACAGATTTCGATGGGAGGGGGAGTACCAGCAGGTCCAAGCAAATTTAGCGGTTCGCAGTTACTTTTTCGCTAGCCTCGTTCGCCGTGCCGCTCGCCAGTTGATCATGAATGACATCATGCCGCCAGGCTGATTTCTACGGACTTCTATGACGACTTGCGAATGCCGCCACTGTGGCGGCATAGACCGCAAAGAGTTAATCACTAGACACAATACTTCGCCTGAGTAATTAATTCCTGAAATAGACTTCGCACCGGTAATTTATCATCAGAGCTCTGTAATGGATCAGTGATTATTACTGTTGTCATTATCATTTAATTGTTCTATATTATTACTATCTCTGTAGTTTAAATATTCAAAATCATCATGCATTAGTAACAAAATTAATTGAGATATAGTAATTTATTACTGACTAACTAATAATATTTTTCTAAGGGTTTGCGCACGACGTCTCGCAGCCTGCCTGGCGCCATCTAACGGTGTTGTACGGAAAGAATTGCTACAGCATCTCCGTTGAATAACCCGTTACCTTTCGTCTTTTATGGCTTGTAGATGAGTGAATTATTTAGACATGAACAAACAGCTTAAAGTTTCTTCCTCTTTTAGATATATTTTATCTTACATAAAAATAAATATTTTACGTAAAAATTTTATCGAAAAAATTCAACACAGATCAGAGAGACTATCATTAATCTTTTCCTCTAATGAGAACTCGCGAAAAGTGAAGCATTTCCAAGTGGTCTTGAATGAAAAAAGTTTCAATTTTCATAAGTTTACACTAAAAGAAAAGATTTATGATCGACGCTTTGGAATAATGGGCCCTTTGGAATAAACGTTGGTTGACCCGTTAAACATATTACCGGGTGACGTCTAGAAACTCCTTAACAGAGCGTGGTTTGAGTCTTAACTAAATATGATTTGGACTAAATATCTATTTTATACTCGTCACAATTGTTATACTTCTTATTCGTCCCAAAGTCTCCGCACGGAGAAAAGTGATGGAAAATTTTATCAGTATATAATACTTAAGACTTATGTATTAATCTATTTGCTATGGCAATATAAAATTTTCTGTCACTTTTCTCCGAGTGCTACAACCAACTATCGTCTTTTATGAGAAATCAAGAAACAAGTAGCACGGCTTAGCGAGTAGCCAGACGTACATTTATTTTTCAAGTTTTCACAGCTTTCACGCATTTAAGTTTTATGTAATCATCGAATATACGAGAAATTGTTTCAAATAATGTTTGTCCTTTTTATAATAATAATTTCATACACTTTATAATTCAGCAATCAGATTTTTCAAATAATAATATTTACCAACAATAACCTCTATCCTCATTATTTTTGCAAGCTCTAAAATTTTCTTAGGAGACAATAATTAAAGGAAATTTAATGAAAATCAATTAAATATACCTCCAGACCTTTCCTTGTAATTAAAACGTTAGACATGGAATCGAATGTAAAATATATATTTGTAGCAAATATTAATACATGCGTAACGAACGTGGAATATCGAGGATAGATTAGATAAAATAAAATGATATTAAGAATAGGGACGATTCTTTTCCGTTTTTTCCATTTCACCGCTCTGAGCGAGTCGTGCTATTAACAAAACGCGATTGCTCGATCGTTTGGGCCCGGCACGTCGTTATCCGAAGTGCTCCAGTATCAGATAACGTACACATGAGCAAATTCACATAGCAATAGCACACATCGCGCGCATACACATGCATTAATATACACGATCGTGTGCGAAATTGCAAAACGCCTACCATTTACCGCAGCACGTTCGTTTCTAACGACCCATAAGCGTGCTTGCCTTTTTTGCCGAATAGCGGCGAATCAGAACCGATAGTCCTCTTGTGTGAGGCTAAGAAATAACGTGGAACGTCGAAAAGGGTATACCTTCTATAAACATATTTCTTCTTTTTCGGGTGGGAAAAAATCGTTGCTGAAAAGAGCGGAATCATTTAGTCGCAGACGGCGGGCTAGTGCGTTTCTTTAGAGTGATCAGAATCAGCAAAGGCGTAAGATAAACGATTTTTAAGCGTACAGTTAGTCGCAAAATAGTTTACACATAACAAAATTGGGAGCGCAGCAAACTGTCACGATGGAGAATCATTGCCGACAAAAAAGTCGAAGTGATAGTACAGGGGTGGAAATAAATCTGTTCAAACATTAATACAGGGTGTGAAAATAAATCTGTTCAAACATAGTGTGACAACCTGTTAATACATTCGAGAATATACTTGCTTTAAATGTGTGCAAAATTAGTGCTCAAAGAATTGGGAGATCTGAAAACGTTTTTAAATTAAAAATGTTTTAATGTTTCGATGGGTACGACAGTCGCCTTTTAATTATTAAATTTAAGTTATAATATATTATAATAAATTAGCAAATGGCTCTGCGAATTGCAGTAGAAACAGACGATCTCCGTATGTCAATCTTCGTTTTTTATTAAAGGATTATTGAAAAATTTCCGAATAATAGATAATCTCTGGGTATTTTAAAATTTGTTACCATTCAAGAGCAAAAAATTAGTCGAAAATAAAAAATATCATGTCATATTGTCCTAACCTTCTTTCTTTTTTATAATCCATAAGTCAGTTTCCGAGAGCATCTGCTTAGACGTCTTTTATGGTCTGTTCTTTTTAGCTGCACTACTGAAACAAGTATATTTTTTCTCGCTCTAACTATTATTGCACTAATTCAGCAGTGCAATAAAAAAGAACAGATCATTACTGTCATGGACTGGCATTACATACGTCATACGACAAACATTGTCGGACGTGCCGATTGGCTGTCGGATAGGGAGTTTCTAATATCACTAACATTTTTTCTAGACACTCTAGAAATTCCCTATCCGACAGCCAATTGGCACGTTCGACAAATTCATCGTACAACACTTGTAATGGCTTCTGATTACAAGACGCGATAAAGCGGAAAGTACTTTGGCAAAACGTAATTATGCATGCCTTAGCATGACAGATAAGAAAACAAACCAATCAGAGTTCTATGTTTCTATCCTTACGATGGAAACGAAAGATCCTGATTGGCTCGTCTTCTTATGCATCATGCATTATGCGCTACGTCAAAATATGTGCTTCCTGCTTAACGCTTGTTACATTCTGTGTGCAGAAGATATAAGCGGAGAAACAAGATGTCGGCTTTCGATATATCACATTTATCTATCGCATCTGTCGCTTCTCTATTATCTAGGATTTCAGAGGAGCGCGAGCATGATATAAAGCGAAGTTTACAATAAAAATTTAAGCTCTAAGCCTTAAAGTATTTATTGTAGATTAGAACTAACTTTTCTCGCTCTAACTTATTGCATTAGTTCAGCGGTGCAATCAAAAAGAACAGATCATTACTGTCGGACTGGTATTACATGCGTCATACGACGAATATTGTCGGATATGCCGATTGGTAGTATCGTTTAGATGTTGGCCTTACGGCGGCCTGAAGCGCTGGTAACAGCCGGATGGAGGCTTCAGGTGCAAAGATTTTGCAGCGTTACACCGGGAAAGAAGATGACGACAATTAGTCCGCCAGGTACCGTGTCGAAATTTGAAAAAGAGACCATAATTATATATTTTACAGATAACAACGCATCTTATGCAACGTTGCGCGCTTTTTTCCAATTTTGTAATAAGATTTATCCAAGTTCTCATGGCGATAATTTACGAAATCTGCATCGTGATTGTTATTTTAAAACTATCGTGAACATTGAGAACATTGCTAAATCCAAGATGTTGATAACGTATGCTCTTTGCAGCAAATTTGAGACGAATATGCAGCTGATCCTTTCTGAGCACATTCTCCATTTTTTGAATTTTGTAACGCTCGAAATTTGAACATTGTCCTATGTTTCGGATCGGGCAGAAGAATGTGCGACGTTTTTTGTGCAAAACTTTCGATTCAACTGCAGCCGGTTCTTCTTGAGAGTAAGTTTCTTCAAATTTGTTATATCTCATCGTGTAACGTTTTACGAGAATATTAAAATTGACCGGCAGAAATAATAAATGATGAATAGCATAAATGCGAGTAAAAGTGTAAGATAAACAATTTATAAATATACTTTTTTTTAATTGCAAAAATTTCAGTAAATTTAAATTAATTAAATTTCAATTCATCGCCATTTGCAGTAGATTCGGGCAATATCGATGTGTCGATTTTGTATTCGTTTTCTATCAACGTATTATTGTATAATTTCCAAGGAATCGATAATTTCTGGATATCCTCAAATTCGCCATTTAGGTGGCATAAAAATTATTTAAAAAAGAAAATTCCATTATCAGAAATTTAATAATTGTATAACGTAGCGGGTCTAAATATATATTATGTATATCGATTTTATAATGTCTTTCGATATTGTTCGATCCCCACACGCTTATATTTGTGATGTGCACGCGAATTATACACAATTATATGGGACTTTTTACAGTTTAACGCCGATTCCGAATGGCAGTTTGAGTGGGATTTCCATGGCAAATATATTATTCTCGATGAATTGCCAAGTCTATCGGAGAGGAGATACGAGCGTATGGAAATATTTTGGTTTTACCGAGAGGCAAACCCAGGACCTCTAAGTATAGCAGATCAGTTTGCGCTGTTTGCTATGCCATGCTCTTGTCTAAATATATTAGGTTAAGAAATATCAAGCATAATTGAATGGTTCAGTCGAGATATAACTGAGATGCTTTCCGCGCGACACCGTTAGATGACGCCAGACAGGCCGCGAAACGCTGTGCTAAAGTTTGAAAAAGAAGCCATAACGGATCATTTTATAAGTAACAACTAGGGATAGGCAATGTTGACAAAAATAATTGGTTTTCCAAAAATCGATTATAAAATGTGTCACTTTCTCATAATCGATAAAATTTTGGAAACATCGGTAATAATCATGCGTAAGCATTAAACTGTGTAAGGTTGTAACCTCCCTGCAAGTCCCTTAGTGCAATGTCCGGTGCTATAAGAGTAGAGAAGATCTTGAGAAGCTCTTTTTTATATACAATGCCCGATCTATGCTTTCCTATGCGTTCATTAGCTGAGACAAAATAATTAATTCCTTACTAACTATTGCGAATTCTGCAAAATGGTGCGTAACTTTTCTATTCAGTTTCACTCGTTCCACCTGTACATCTCGGAGATCGAGATTAGTTTGGGACACCTTGTATAAATAAAGTCGAAATAATTAAAACATGAAAGATGTTATCTTTTCTTGTTTCACCACCTGTACATCTCGGAGATCGAGATTAGTTTGGGACACCTTGTATAAATAAAGTCGAAATAATTAAAACATGAAAGATGTTATCTTTCATGTTTAGGCCAAGAAAAGGTGTGTACATTATAATATCCAAGATGTGTACATTATAATATTAAAATGAAAATTATTAAATAATTAAAAGTAAAAAAGTTATTTCATTTTTAAATGGTAAAGAGACTATTGGTCCACCCTGTACTTATGGACGGTAGTGTATATTAAATTATAAGATTCCGTTATTTTTCAAGATCTTATAAGATATAATTATGTTATTTTACGATAGCGATCATTGTATTAGTATCGTTGAAAACGGTGGCAGGATTTTGAAATAATAGGAAGGATTATCACACAGTTTTTTTTATAGAAGTTAATTAGAATATATACTCTTCAATGTTATATTCTCGATATTTTTTTTATTATATAATTAATTAAAATATTTGTTTGTTATACGACTTAGCATAGCATCATTCATTGAAATGATGGTGAAAGATGTAGCGGCTCCAATGAATGCAGCAGCAGCAGCACCGAAGGGTCCGATTTGCCCAAAAGTTGGCTCGAAGGTGTGTATGCGGTTTCCCTGTATAATGGGGATCGAAGCGATTCGATTCAGCTAAGTTCAGAGCGCAGCTGATGGTCCAATGAGAGGACTTATTTTTGACCAATTTTCTCATTGGACTATCGGCTGCTCTCTAATGCATACAAATCGTTTTTATCTTCATTGTATTCTTTTATTTAATATTTTGCTTTCAAAATATTAGGTGCTTAAATTAATTCTCGCTGTTGACTAATAGAAGTCAATATGTGTGCTATTTCAACATAGCCGAAATGACTAATGTATGTGAAAGTAAATTGTCAATATGCTTTAATAATTAGTGTGTGACATTAAATCATAGTGCAAAGAACACAACTTTTATTGCATTGATGATGATTTTTTTGCACCAGAAAAAAGAGCATTTGTAGGAAGTATTACTTTTCTGCTTTCATCTCAAGAAATCTGCTGCTGAAAATTATCTCCGAAAGATCCTTCTGAAGGACAATATTTTGAATAAAATTTAATGTACCGTTCTTTTGAAATAATCATGATTTTTTGTAGCAAAAAAACAGCAAAAATTAATTCAAGCATCTAATATCAGAAATATTGTTAGAATTTGAACGCAAATAAATGTTAATTAATCTATCTACATGCTTGTTGAACCTAATATTTAACCAGTTAACTGTGGCGATCTCTTTGCAAAGCGCCCACCAGTGTGTGTCGCGATAATCAAGCGAGTTAGTTCTCAGGAAGTTATAAATCCAACTCTATTTATAATTTTAATTTGTTTGTTTCATTTCGTCTTGACCTCTAAACATTTTACCCATATTAAAATTTACGAATATAATTTAGTTTTCACCAGAATTACAATTTAAATATCAAATTGTAACAAAATTTTACGCATGACGGATATAGTCGTCATGACACAAGATTCTGCCACATCTCCATGACGGATATAGTCGTCAAACACACTTAACTGATTAAGTAATTATTAGTAAAATTAAATTTTTTTTCTTGGATCATGGATCATTAGTCAAAACGTGGCTGGTCTTGAGTTTTTAATACGATTGGTAAGTGAAAAAATGAGAACAATTCAAGGTGACGGATAAAAATTGAACATAACAGGACCATTTTCAATATTTGATGAAAATCAATGCGGTTTATTTTATTTGTAGTTTTTATATATTAATTTCTGTGCATGGAGATGCAAACGGGCGGACGAAACACAGTGGTACAATTTGCATTTTCCTTGTTAAAATTACGACTCTTTATTATATCTCACAAACTTATTAAGGATATTTATAGTTGTATAAATAATTATGTTTATAACGAGCATATAAATAGCTATATTTATTGTTATTAAATTTATATCACTGTGTTGTTCGACGGTTGAGTTTTTCGACACAATCAAAATATTAACTAAAATTTGATGCTGCAGCATCGCGAAATGTATCGTGAAATCATCGCGCGCTAGAATAGCGTCTATACTCGTGGACATCGCAATATTTCCAGTTGCATTAATATATTATATTTCACTGGTATATAGGACTGCATGGTGGCGCTTGGAAAACTAAGCAAAATCGATAAGGTGACCCTGATGTGGATATCTGGACATCAAGGGATACGTGGAAGTGAGGCATGAGGGAGTAGCAGATGACTTGGCTAAGAGGGGCTCTAGTAGCTCCCAGAATCGAGTGGTCGGGCTCCCTTTATCCATAGGAAAAGCTAATATCAAGGAAAAGACCTTTCAAGATGGAAAAACTGCGATGACTGTCGGCGGTCTAAGCTCATGATGGCACAACCGTTTAACAGTAAAACAAAAGAGCTTCTATCATTGAGCAGGCCAGGGCTAAAGACTGCAATTGAACTGTTAACAGAACACTGACAGCCCACTTGCTTAAAACAGGGCTTATCGAAGACAATCCATGCGATCGATTATGCGGCTACTTACGGGGTTTTTTTAAGACCCGAGGAACTTCAGCAAGCAAGATCTAATGAGTTGTTTCACCTCGCCTCTGATAAGAGGCTAGGGCTCAGGACTTAAGCTGAATAACAGAGTGAGGTGTTATAATGGATCAATAGATCTAAATAAACCTAAGAGCAGTAGTTGCTTCACTCACTATTTCTTACTACCACTACTACTAATATTTTTCGTTTATTGTGACTTCATTATTGCGACGTCAGCTTTCTTATATGTGCATTCGCGTCATAAATACTTGTACAATACAGATTTCGTTATCCAAGTTCATCGCGATTTTACGTAGTAATGGAACGCGACATTTTAAAATTACAGAGATTACTTCGTGTTGTGCTAATTTTCCAATCACTACGAATGATATTTTTCAATTGACTTGTCCAGAAAAAATAGATAGTAAGCATAGAATAAAATTACGCGTTTACGTGTTAGCACTTTTACAGATATTTATTACTGTTAAGCTAGTGATTAGTTACTTATTTCAAATACTTAAAATAGTGTTATTAGTGATTCGTAATGGTTAAATTATAGAGCTCTCAATGATCCCAAATATTTCAGTGGGGGAAAATTAGGGAAAATTGACATAACTTAATTGATATAAAATATATTCATCGACGTAACATATGTGGCGGTCGAAACAACCAGCGGTAAAAAACAACGGCTGTTCGCACGCCACACATATATTAATTAAATATTGTCTTGTTGTGTCTCGGTTCCCGTGGTATGCAAGTAGAACGGATCAAACTGAGTAGAAAAGCCACGTACCATTTTGCAAAATTCTCAATAGTTGGTGAGGAATAAATTATTCTGAGCTAATGAGCGCACGGGAAGAGGTAAACTAGACTTCGTATAAAGAAAAATGGCTTACTTCTGAAGATCTCCTAATAACGATAAATATCAACTGACAGCGAGAGGCGTGTTTCTTTTCGGCGCATAGACCCTGTCGCATGCCGCTCGCTCTTTGCTGCGTTACCCCGCCTTTAGAAATCAGTTGCGACCTGCTTGGTTTTCAAATTCGGTTGGCTCGAACAGCTTCTGGCCGGTGGGGCGCTCAGTCTCTTGCCGCGCATTCGCTTCGCCGTGACCCGGTGGTCGACACCTCCGGTGAGATGCGGTTCGGGGTTTGAACAGACGCGCTTCGTCTGTCCGGCGCGGATCACGGCGTGGAAGTCCGGGGCGTCCGCTTGCCCTGGAGGCGCACTGCCCGATGACGGGAGCGGAGCGGGCGAGGTCGAGAAATCTCGACGGAGGCGGCGAACGCACCGCCCTTGCTCGTCCCTATCCCCAGGTCCGCGCCACGAGCGAATCGTTACACAGTTGACGCTCATCGTTGCTAGGAGATCTTCGGAAGTAAGCGAATTTTCTTTATACAGATTTCGGCCTACCGTTTCCTATCCGTTTATGTGAAGGAGCTCACTTTTTTGCGCCTTAACCCTTTCGGTACGGAGGAGCTGGTACGAGGAAGTTTTCCGCAAGAGTGGTTGCACTGTACGGCAGCGTAAGCCCAGCGTAGTACCCAGAGAACGTTTCATGGCCGCCGCCAATGGGCGGCAGTAGTACCGAAAGGGTTAAATATCGCTCGGCTCACTTCACTTCCCGAAATCACCTGAATTTCACAGAGCTCCGCTCGGCTACACGGATATGTTATGCATGTATTAGTGCCGGCGTTAGTCGGATAGGATGTGGGACGTCCCTCATCAGTGCATCACTGGAAGAGGATACCAGCTGGGGATGATCGGAAAATCACTTCGGAAGCGCGACTAATTTCGAGCACTGTTTTGCACGAGTAGATTGTATGTAATGTAAACGCGTGTATACTGCTCTTATCACCGTTCTTATTTCTATTGTGAGTGGGCAAGTTGCGAGATTCGAATTTCATGAGATCCTTCCTTCCGGCTTTATCGCGCGCCGGACGCGGCAATGTCGGCGCTCACTTTACGTGCGCGTTTCGCTTTTGTATTTCCGGTTGACGTCGCACGGGAAATGTTCGATGTTAACGTTCGCCACTGCGAATCGTTTGACGGTTCAGCGCCGGCCGTGCTAATGTTTTGATAGATGCAATTTTCACCGGGACCGGAGGGGGGGAGGGAGGGAGGTGGGAGTTTAATGCGCGCATGCACGCACGAGACGACTACGAAATGCCGGGCCGAACGGACGCTGCTGCCAGGATCGCGAATTAATTTGTAACGTTCTCGCGATGACGCGGATGGAACACGTGCGGATTTATTGCGTCGCGGTTACTTGCAGAATGCCGAACGCTGGCCGACCGCAAAGAGGGATCGGCGTTGCCGCTCGATCGAATCGAAAGAGGAATACTGCCTATTATCGTCAATAATGTGCAGGGTTCAACGAAAGATAACGACGATGCGGTTTCCTCAAATTTCTGCGCTTCTCGAGCAAATGGCCCGTAATCAGAACACGCTCACAACGATGTCGGCGGGCTGACAAATTAAGATATTAACGCTCATATTGGCGCGCGTGTTCAAAACGCGACAATAGCAGCGCTCTGTCAGG